GAAGTATTCTCTGACCAACACCAGATCCACTGGGAATGTACATCTGGAGGATGGTAGGGAGGAGGAACATTTCAGCCTGATGGGCAAACTGCAATTATAGATATAAGTATATTCATGACATGGCGAAGTGTTTCAACTAAAACCTGGCATCTTGAATTGTACATCAGGTCCACGGTAGGAAGGGCATCACGCTATTTACACATGGTACTAATTGTGACTCGGCCACATCCAAACAAAACCAGACCCACCGGGAAAGTACATACAGAGAATAGTAAGAAGGAGGAAAGCCACTATAGGAAAAAACAATTGGTTAGATATAAAGACAGGAATATGGTGTAATGTTACAACCAAAACCTGGCAGCATCTGAAATTGAACACCAGCAACAACACCTGCAGAATGCCACCATCCTACTTTCAACTGAGTGGTATGATTCATCACTCAGGAGGACAGGCCACCACCCCAGTGGCTAGGAACTGGTAAGGGCTCCCATGCTCCACTAGAAGAAAGGTGGAAATCAAAACGAGTTGAAGTGTCTGCCAATTGAGAAGTAATTACCAAGTGCAGATGTGAAGAGGGCACTGGTTACAATAAAAGTGTCATGCTCCTATTGGTAGAGAGCTGCTGCATGATCATTTGCACGTGGATATGAAGAAGCAGGAAGTGGAAGACTAGTGGCATGCATTGAAAATTTTGTGAGTGGTGGTAAGATGTATTGGATTTTAACATTTACTAAAAGCTTGCCAAATATTGTGAAGATACATGCAGTGAACTCAAGAGTTATTGTAAACACAGCTTTGAATATTTTCACAGAAAGGGGTCAATTCAGTGGTATGTATGGTTAAGCAGTGGATGCAAAATATCAAACTCAATCAAATTATTCAAAATGTATCCAAAATAAATCATTAAATCTACATCATTCACAAAACAGTGGAAACTTTCAGCAAATTGTTTGAGCATATCTTAGTACATACTAAATATTTTAAACATCTGATGAATTCATAATATAACCAAGTTTTCTTTAAAGATATTTGGAATAAAGCTTTCAAATTTCAAGTAGAAACCTGAAAATATTTTCTTATGATATATTCCACGATGGAACTCTCCAGCCTTGTTACAGATTAGTGTCTAAAAATAGAAGTTTGTGATCTTGATGTTCTACAGTAAACCTTATGCTGTTATATCTACTGTTTAAATAATATAGAAGCAAAAGTATTATCTACATACCTGCGGTAGGAGAAAGGTTTGAATTGTTGAGGGCAATTTTCCAGCCATTATTTTTCATGATGACATAGAAACAAGTTGGCTAATGATGGGCTCAGATGAATCAGCCAAGTTCGTGACCCAAAACATATCAGTATACTTTCCATACTATAAATTCTAATATGTTTTGTGTATCTTCACAAAACTTTGCAAGATTTCAGTAATCATTAAGTTATTTGTAGAAAACAAAAATCTGAATTTTTAAAGAAATATTTTCAATAAAAAGATCTGCATGAATATAAGAAGTCAAAATGTTGACTGCTCTGAGTGCAAAGTAATTTTCATGTTAAGATTAAACATACTTTTCTTTGTCTCAAAAATCTCAAATTTCATTTGCATAATCTCTAAAACTTTCTAAATAAATTTCTATATGAGATTGGTCACTTTGACCGACATCGTAACTACCAAAAACAAACTTCAATTATCATTTTTTTCTTTCTAGAATGACTTAAAATTGTAACAGGAAACTACGTAAAATCATAAATAATATTCAATGTTAAACTGGTACACAATTAAAAAATATTTTATTTAGGCCTAAATAAAATGGTTTTTAATTGTGTACCAGTTTAACG